AGGAAAAAGATGGGAAGAGACAAAAGGTGAGAGAAGAAAAGAAGATGGAGACAGGGAGCAATCGAAGAATAAGGAGAGATACAGGAAAGATAAAAGAAGATGACAAATAGGATGAGAGGGAAGAGAGAATATTTGGGCAGTGCTATGTATCCCAAGATTTGTCCCTTGTTTTGTCTTCCCCCCAATTATGACGGAAGTCGACCCAAAGAGGCCTGCACAAGTGAAGGATATGGTAAAAAATGCGAGACAATCTCAAAGGACACAGATTTCCTTGAAGCCCATAGGATAACATTTTTGTAATCTCCTTCTACCAGAAGATGTTCTTCCCAAGAATCTTTTCATTATAGAATTTACTTCAGGTAAAGATGAATCCCCCAACACCAAGATAAACAGATAGTTGCCACTGTGTCCCCTCGTGAATTTTAAAAATACCCTTGTATCACAATGGTGGGCTTCCCTAGGGAGCACCCATCACTATTGAGTTTGATGGCACCTAGGCTTGGGGGTATCCAAGAGGTGGATCCAAACCTCCTCCAAGGTTTGAAGGTGAGAATGTTCGCCCAATTGGATGTGAAGTTTGCTATAGAGAAAAAGTTAAGGCCTTTGTAGCTTGTGGCCCAAGAGATAGTGAGATCTTTTGTAAAGTCCGCTCTTGCATTTGCTGATCTCTTAGGGCCTCAAAAAATTCTGGAGTTTAAGGAGATATAACCCCTAAAAAATGAGTAAACATAGGAAACAAACGGAAATAAGAAGTAGAAATTCGAGGGTAAGGTGAAACAAAAACCATCCGAGCGAAATACGGTGGAAGTTAGTTTGAATGTGCCCCAAGAATTCATCATTATCATTAAAGCCTTTTCCCAACTATTTAAGGTCGACTACACGAATCATAGTATGTCATCCTGCTCTATCAAGAGCCATACCCTAAGTGAAGTCATAAGTCCCTATATCTTTTCTCACTATTATCAACCATATCTTTTTGGGTCTACCCCTTGCCCTTTTTAGCCTTCCACTTGAAACAACTCATGTCCCCTAACAGGTGTTGTATTGGGTGTGTGCTGCATATAACCAACACACCTAAGTCTACTTTCTATCATCTTATCGCTTATTATAGCCACACCTAAGTTCTTCGGAATGTATTCATTTCGGACTCTATCTCTTCATGTCTTGCCACTCATCTATCACAACATCCTCATCTCAGCTACACTCATCTTATGGGTATGGTGTTTCTTGACTGCCCAACATTGTGCCCATAAAGCAAAGATACATACTTTCCTGTCAGCTTCATTGGTTGTGTGGTGATCACATAAAACTCCAGTTGCACATCTCCACTTCCCCCACCCAGCTTTAATTCTATGTGCGACAACTTCCTGAATCTTTCTATTTTCCTAAACTATCGACCCAAGATATCAAAAGAAATTGAGCACTTTTTGGTTTTTCTTGATTGTCAATCTTAACTACTTTCTTGTCTCTACTCCTATTATTACTAAACTTGCATTCCATATAGTCTATTTGTTCGGCTAATTTTAAAACCTTTAGATTCTACAGCATCCCTCCAAAGTTCTCACTTTGTGTTGACGCTGCTTCGAATGATGAGAAGAAATAAAGAGGAAGTACTTAGAAGAATCCAAAGAGTGGTGAAAGATATTAAGAAATAGAGCAGTCTGATCTCATTCAAATTTTGATTATGTGACATGCATTACTGGCAATATAGCCTGATATTTGGCGGAAATTGTACAATAATATGATAGACTATGGTTTTCCATTGTCCACTCACTCCACAGTCCAATCGAATGATAATGCGAGAATGAAGCCCACCTTGGGGTGGTGTCCCTTTAGGGGTTGCCACTCTATACATCGACATCCATCATTACAATCAGGCTGTAATGAATCCAAGTGACTGAGGTCCGTTAATCTCCTATTACTACAACAGCCTCCTAGGCACGTGAAATTATCAATCACATTCATTGTCTCCAACACTTCTCATAAAATACCCTTGGAAGGGTCTTATAGTTTCTTTTTCATTTTTTTTTCTAGAAGTCATATATTTTCTTAGACTTGCTAAATAATAGCTTCATGCAGATCCACCATAAGGCTATCTTTGTAGTACCAAATACAAGACCATTCCCACAAATCTTGAGGGGAAAAAATGAAAGGACACCCTATAATATGCTTGCCTAACTTGCAAGCCACACTCTCTAGTGTTGACAGACTCCAACGATGCAACTAACAACTTCAAATTATTAACAGATGGATGAACGCATCGGGGTGATCCATCCGCATCTAGATTGCATCGTCGCATCAAGACTGCAACACACATTTTAAAACGCTAGGTAGATGCACAAATCTCATGACAGAAGGCCACAAGAAAACTACCTGCACCTGCATCACCAATAAAAAAAAGAAAAGGAACGACATCAAGTCAACTAGATGTTGGAACTTTCTTTTTAAACCCTCGGGGATGAATTGGGTTACCTCTTGGGGAACCCCTTTTGACTGTACATTTTGATATCGTTATTATAATAGTTAACTCTCTTAAAAAAAAACTAGGCATTGGAACAAGGGAACGTCTCTGTGCAAACCAAGCTGAACCATCCAAACGAAGATGAATAGTTCTTTTTTCTAGGTAGGTTAGCTGCAAGACTCAAACCATTGTGTTGAGGACCTCAATAAGAAGCTGGGTTTTTTTTTATTTTTTTTCTCCCTTTTGAAATGGTCATGAGACTTGATTTTAATGTTCACTAGCTTTGGCACTCCCTCAGCCCATAAATGTCACTAGCGAAAGAATAGTTCGCTTTGTGCTCACCACGCGATTCCGTGCAATTTTTTCTATAAAGTTAAGTTTCATTTTCTTATGGTTATGTAATAATTGACTCATTTATTGACAATGGCTTGGAATTTGTGATGTCTAACAAATGAAATATGAAACAGAATGAGCAGTTTGTAGAAGCATGTGCTAGTAATTTCTTATTTGTTAAAGTAGATACTATTACTAAACTAGCAATGTGAAAAATGATGCCCCAAACTATTTTTAGCAATGTTTCTACGCTAATAAGTTTTGTTGTGTTTCAAGTTCTATAAAATTTTAATAATATCTTTTCATAAATAATTAACGGGAACTCTTCAAGACTCGATTCAATATTACACTTCGAGGCTAATCCCAAAACCTTGAGGTCTTAAATTTAGGCTGAAGGCAAGGGCTTCGATGCTTTATGAGGCATGTGATAACAAAGCCTTTAGGTCATCAAGGTTGGCATTATAGCACAAGAGAGAGAAGGGCCATAGGATTGTATTATTCAGTGATTAAACACACAAACCTGGCATGGGACTGCACAGGGCACAAGCCCGAGTCAGCCAGTCTGACTCAGCCAAATCTCAACAAAAATTGGCTGGGTCTATGAAGAAATAGAATGATTGACCTATGGAACCAATGAGACATTGCTGCTTCCAGAGCAACAAGACCTGGTGGTGTATACCCTTAAAGTCCTATACCCTTATCCTCTAGTGTAGTAATTTTTTGTCTAGGGGTATTTTAAGTAATTAGTCAATGGTAAAATAGAAACATTATTAACAATAGTGGACAATAACATCACCTTCAAGATGCATTAATTATTTTTCAACTACTAATAGAATGCCACTATTTTCTTATATAAATATCCATTCTACCCTTTTAAATGAGCCCCTACTTGAAAATTTTTGTATTACAATTCAAGGGTATTTGAGTACCCAAAAATGTTGAGGACTTTAAGGGTATACACCACCAAGTGTGTCTTGCTGTTCAGTACATCTTTTCCTAGTAAGAACCTTATGGTATGTGCTTACTCAATTGAGAAAAGAGATTATTCTCAATTTTTTTAATTTGTTCTTATCGCTCTTTCTAGTATCTACAGCAAGACATGAAAATTATGCTAACTAACAAGGGGTGCAACAAATGTTTTTCAAAAAAAAAAAAATTATCTTACTTTTCAAGTATGCCCTATCTTCATCTTTTAATTTTTTATTCATAAGTTACATATTTTTCTCTTTAATTCTTCTCTACTTTCCAGGTTAAAATATTCTGAGTTCTTAGGTTTCAATGGATATCCCATAAACAATAAATGGGCTAAGTTTCACAAAAAAAACCCAATTAAATGGGCTTCAAAAGTTACATGATACACCTTGAGGCTGAGCCCAAGTTTCTTCACCTTGAGGAACTTAAAACTCTAGTGTGTACACACAATAGAACAACTTTTGTTATATTTTTTATTTCTATGACTTACAAAGCGACAATTTTGCACAACTTTTCAAGACTTATATTTTAATATGAAACAAGATAGAATATCGCAGCAGCTTAATTCCTTAGAGAGGCTTTTGGTCAACACATGTGACACAAGATGTATTGTGCTGTCTAGGTACAGAATTCCATCTTTCTTTCCATATTAGGAAGATTTTTAGTGCATATGCCCCATTTATCGCAATGTTCAACAGGTCAGTTCAGAACATCAAGCTTTTATTTTTATTTTGTTGGATGAAGTTCTGTATAGTATTACAATAATAGGTGTGTGTTACATCGCTGCTGACTGTGTATAGATAGCACCAAAGGGCAAACCTCGGGCCTCAAAACATAGCTGCTGGACAGTAAATGGGATGTACCAAAAAACCAACCAATCAAGCCTTCATGTTTGGATACCTGAAATATAGAGGTATTAGGTTTCCCAAGCAAATCTGACACAAGGGAGTAGAAAAAGGCCTTATTCCACCCACGTTTTATGCATGTGACGTACTACGGCAAATACACAGGCTATAAAAAGATAGGCTATCACAAACTAGCTTATTAACATTATCCAAACAATCCTGCTACTAGCCAGCAAAATGACATGTCCTACGAAAGAATGGTAAAGTGGTACCCCCACAGCATTGAAAGAATAAGGAGGTGACTGGCATCAGTTTAATGAATTCATAGTTACCCATCAAATAACAAATAAATAAATAAGGAGGCCACTATAAAAATGCCCATTTGCAGCAAGCTAAAACTCATTATAGAACTGCTGTTAACTGATTTCATTTTCAATTTTGATTCTACATGAGGAACCAGATACACTAGGTGCGGCAGTCTAACTGTACAGACTCTGGTTAGCCACCAAAAGAAAGAAAAATGTATGACACTCTAACTGGTTGTATACAATACAGACCCCAAAAAACAGAAAGACAACCTAAAGCCCACAATCTAAGTCTGTTTTTGACAATGAGTGCAATTCGCTCGAGGTACAGTATGAAACAGTACCTGAAAATGATGCAGGTCCTTAAATTTAAACAGGCAGGAAAGCCAACTCACACACTGAAGTTGTGCTTTGTAGCTTCCATCTTCAATAGCAGATCTTTGATATCGGCTTCCATCCTCATCTTCATGTTAAAGTAATCCCTGTGCACCTTTTCTAGGGCCTGAAGTTCTCCAAGCTTCTGTTTAAGTCTTTCCCCCGTTTCAACCAAGCGTAACTTTAGAACCTTGTTAGTATACTCTACTTCCAACTGTTCTTTCTTGGCATCAGAAATCCGTTTTAGGCCTTCAGCTTCTATTCTTGCATCTTCGGCACGAACTAGGTACATTTTAGCCTCTGCTTCTTTCATCATCACAATGCTCTCCAATTCATCCATCACAGGCTTCTTTTCCATGCCCAATGGCAGATCAGATCCACCATTTCGTCTCCCTCCCTGCTCCCAATCTAGGCCAGTAAGCATAATGGCACTTCCATTCTCCAAATGTTGAAGTTTCTCAGCAGAAGCAACATGAGGAAGTTTATAAACAGCGTCTTGACATGACCCTTCTAGACCATTACTTGTTTTTCCTTGATTAACATGAAAAACATCCTTCACAGCAGAGGAAGAAGGAGCACCACCAAAATTGCATTCACCTTCTGTAATTTACAAATATGAAACGCAAGGTAATGAACAGAAAGACAGCATTAATCATATGAAGCAACGAAGAATATTATATGTACAAAGATGCATAAAAGTGTGGCACATGTGCACAAACCGCAGAAGAATCCTTTTTTCTTTTCTCTTTTTTTGAAAATGTTAACTTGTGTATTGATAAGGAGAACCGCAGAAGAATCTTAACTTTGGATGTCTAATGGAGCATGAAAATATCGGAGTCCATTATACTCTATTGGGCACATCAAATATTGAAAAATATTATATATACAAAGATGCATAAAAGTGTGTGGCACATGTGCACACAACTGCAGAAGAATCTTGAATTTGGATGTCCAATGGAGCGTGAAAAAATTGAAGACCATTATACTCTATTGGGCATATCACTTTCCAATGAGATAATGGACAGTGATGGAATAAGAGGGTTCCATCCTTGAGGTGTCAGTCCTTCACTGGCAGGTCTCTCTCACTCTCCAACACCATCCATTATTTCCTTGGACAGGATAACCAAATTGACTATAGTTTTTGATATTCCATTTTATTATTATTCATATCACCAAAAAGAAAGAACATATATATATATAGATAGAGAGAGAGGGAGAGAGAAGCATTCACAGTGCTTACCAGACAGGAATATCATGATGCTTGCATAGACATCCAAATGGTTTGCCCTATTTTCCAATTTCGACAACATTTGATCTGCTATCTCATACAACCTCTTCCCCCTTAAATCCACGCTACCACGAAATATCCTTCTCACATATTCAATCTCCTTGGCAAGAGTTTCAGCACTCCAATCCTTTCCACATGTTCTGAACACTTCCTTAACAAAACCAAACATCTCAGAAGGATGGTCACATGCAACACAGTGGAATTGCATCTCCAAGGCCCCTCGAGATCCTGTGGCACTATGCCCATTTCTTATGTGAGAGTGGTGAAGCCCACAATCAGTATGACACCAATGTAGGCAAACATCACAACCCACCCAACTACAAGTATTGGATGCAAAGTCGAACTTTGAGCAAACAAGACACATGCATGCACTGCAAAACCCATTCTTCTGAGCACAAACTTTACACTCACATTCATCCACAGGCAATTGATTAAGACACAAAAGATTCCGGCACTTCAAATTCAACAAAATTTCCACTAAATCAGAATATGAGAAGTTGTTACTTAGGCGCAAGAACTCCTTGAGTCCAGTCCTTATAGCAACTAGAAGTTCCAACTGAGCCTTGTGAGCTTTTGATAGCATGTCCATTGTGAGTTCGCTCCTCTTTTGAAGCTTTTCCTGCAACCCCAATAAGTGCCCTTGCCTTTCCTTGTTCACCATCATCTCATACATGTGCTCCTTTAGAAACAATATCGATTGTTCCGGCATATCTTGAAGCCTCCTTGCCATTTCCAAAATGGGTTCTGAAACTATCTCATAGATCATCCTCTCAACAAGTTGTTCAGGGTATCTCTGCGAGCCCCTGGACGGCTTGATATGCTCAGGCCTGGTCTCGCGAGAACCAACACTTTGACTTGGAGAAGGCCCAACTTCTTTCCTCGATTGGGATGCCACATCTCTAGAAAAGCTCACCTGTCTCTCTGGCCCATTGCTCCTGCCCAAACTACCTTCTGAAACTCTACAACTCAAAACATGAGATCTGTTACTCTGTGAAGCCGAGCCACCCTGCAAATTTTGAGGCACCCCATTTCCATTTTGTAGTATACGGTGATATAACGGGACTTCTTTTCGCTGTTTAGGCCTTTCCTGGGGTAAAGAATTCGAAACATTAGTTCCATAATGGAGCTGCTCATTGGAAGACTGACCTTGCCCAGCACCACAAACAACTTGGTCGACACCTGAAAAGATGGGGCGGCTACCAACTGAATGCTCATGGTTTTCCACTGAGTTTTGGTTAAGAGAGCAACTAGGGTTATGAGTGAAAGCTTGAGAACCTGAAAAGGAGAGCGAGGTAGTGAACCCATCTGACATTGTGCGAGTTTGAAGAGTTGTGGGAAAGGATTGCACGCTTCTTGCTTGTTTAGGAGATGATGGAGTAGCGTTCGAGCTCGGGGTGGGAGAAGCCAGAGTTAGGGAGACGTCTGGCAAGCCTAGATAGAGATGAAGGGGCTCAGCTTTTACCTCCTTGGAGTTATTGGCAATCTTGTTCGCCCCAACATTAGAATGAGAGAACAACTCAAAGCCCCGATTGCTTGTCCCTTCCATTCCTCTATTTTCATTGCTTTCTCTCTCTTCACCTGTGCACCGATCTCCTGCTGCAAGAAAATCTCTCACCAACCAATTGGGCTGGGGCGCATCAGAGAAAGAAAGCACAGGCTGTTTACCTTTGCCTTTCATAGTCTCAACCCCTTCCTTGTCCGAATTCATAGGAACCAGTTCTAATTTCTCTGGCATGAATCTCAAAGTCAAATCGTGCCTGCCGGTCTCATCAATATTTGTCTTATTAGATTCACTGGACATTCCCAAATCCTCAGCCTCCATATCAAGGTCCATGTCTTTCATCCCACTTTGTTTTTCTACATCAAAAGGTTCATGGCAAATAGCATTCGCATTCATCTTACGGGCGCTTTCTTCTGCAACTACAGTCATCTTACGGGAGATTTCTTCTGCAACTACAGAGCGAACGACATTCTCTCTAATATACATTGACTTTTTTTCGTCAGTTTTAGATGGAATCCCCTTATCACTTAACTTTATAGTGCTTTCTTCCACAGCAGCATCACATGCCTTTGAGTCTAATTCACAAACCACTCTGTTAGCCTCTGGTAAAGGCTCACATTCTTCTCTGTGAATAATCTCCATTTCTGCATCTCCATCCGAACCTTTCACGACTTCATCCAAGTCATCCTCATTCCCGTGATTCAATGCATAATCCAAAACCTCTTTTGATTCTACTGAGAAACCCATCATATCTTTTTGATGCTTCTTATCAGGAACTCCTGCAATTTGAACCTCTTCCCCATTCTTTCTATCAAAACCTCCTCTTCTTTCTATCTTTTCCTCATGCTTCCCATCAGAACCTTCTTCTCTTTCTATCTCTTCCCCATGCTTCCTTTCACTGCCATCTTCTCTCTCTATCTCTACTTCATGATACCCCTCCATCTTATTAGATGCCACCACTGATCTATTCTCCTCTTTCAGTTTATGAATCAAATTAAATGAAGACTCAGGGCAAGCATTAAAGTTTTCTTTGGTTCTACTAGAAACTTCATCTTTAGGCTCAGATTCAGTCCTGGGTTTGGATTCAGGTTCATTTTTAGGTTCAGGTACCGGATCAGGTTCAAGCTCTCCTTCTTCCATTTCACTACTACTACTACTAACCTTGTTATACTTGGATTTCACTTGCTCCTCTGAATCTTTCGACTGCTGTGGAGATTTGCCCGCTTCTCTTGAACTCTGAGGAGACTTCATCATGCTATTTACCGAATTGCCCCTATCCTCAGACCCCATTCTCTTGCTCTTACCGGAAATCCCATACCTCTGTGAAGGGGCATCTTCATCTGTTTCCTTACTGTTCGTGTTCGACCTCCTACTGTGTGATCTCTCTGGTTCATTCCCATCATGAAACCGATGAACCCTATCAGATCGAAACCCTTTGCATGAAGCAGGTTCATATAATTCCCTTCGAGAAATTGAGGAACTGTTCGATCTATGGATCCTGTCGCTCTGGAACCCCTTCCGAAAACTCTCGGATCGTCCAATTTCGAAGCCCTTTCTCTCTCCTCGAGAATCACCATGGTCAAATCGCTTCTTGTGAACTCTATTAAGTTCTCTAGTTTCATCTAGGGTTTTCTCATATTTGAAGCCCTTCCTCCCGTTCTCGAAACTGGTGTATCCACCTCTCCTGTAGTGAGAATCTGCACTTTCTCCCTCTAAAACCTTCAAAGATCTCATCCTTGTGTGTTCTTGATCCCTTCTTCCCCTTTCTCTCTCTAGCCTAGCCACCCCCTTGTCACTAACATTATCAAGGTCCTCACCGTAAGATCTCTGCCGCTTCATTGATCCAGACTCGTATAACTCTACCAACACGAACAAATTCACATAAAACCCCTAGGCAAAACCCCGAAACATGCACAGAGCGAAGAGGCAGTCTGGCTTTTCATAGATGTCGAAAATCGACAAGGAGAGAGAAAGGAGGATAACAATAGGATTATCGAGCTTTTACAATCCAGTTTCAGATATTAGAAGAGTGAGAAATCGCAGGAAATCTCATACCTGGTAAAGAGGCCGAAACGATGGCCGGGAAAAGGGATTTTCCGTTAGGGTTTGCTCCCAGAACGAGAGGGAGCTCGCCATAGAGAGAGAGAGAGAGAGAGAGAGAGAGAGAGAGTAGTGCGACGAGGAGGAGTAGAGCTACGTAGTAGTAGGAGGAGGAAGGAGAAGTAGACGACGAAGGAAGAGAGAGGTAGGTAGAGTAGAGAGAAGAA